ATAAGAACTAGAGTCGCAAATATGTGCAATTACATCGTTATCAGTGACCTTCATTGCGTGATGAATACATGTTGTTGGAGTGCATTTTAGGAGCTTGAATGAGGATAGCAGAAAATAGCAGATAGAGAAACAAATGTAGATAGTCCGGTCGAGGAAGAATATTATTCATATGTAGATAAGATTTTATATAATTTATAGATATATGAACAATATAATAATTTTTTCATATATCCGTGCAAAAGTGGACTAAAACAATTAGACCATTAACTCTCAACCCACTTAATCGACAGGGCCAACGGGCTAAACCAGGTTGACAACCTTTGATACTTGAAATCCATATATTCTAAAAAATTTGGGTTCCAATTTTTATGATTGAGTCAAATCAATCAACAATTGTGGACTTTTCAAAGAGTTGTTGAAATTCAAAAGTCGGTCTTCAAGGTTCTTTCGTGACGGACAAGTTTTTGCGTTTAATTATTAGGTCGAAGGAAGAGAAAGCAAGACAGATGGAGGATGAGATTGTGTCTATTAATTATTGGAAATTGCAGATGGAGAAGATAAGCCATAAAAGAGATTAAATTTAATATGATAATACGTATATACTATATATTACAAGGGCATGTTTGATGTGAAAAATAAAAGGGATAGATTTGAGAAAAATTGATAAAATAGTGACAATTTATGCAATTAACTTCACATGAAAAGTCCAAGATTGTATTGATAGAGTAGAATTTAAGGTTTTATAATGTTGACTTTTCGTAACTTTTGTACGTGCATTAGTATTTAATACTTAACAGCCTCGACTTATTATTCAATCAAGCTTATACACTAAATTCTAATAATTTATACAATAAGCATTATGTTTTTCGTGTTCTTCCATATTTGAGATTTCTAGGCATAATCTTTTCGTTATTCTCTTGATTTTTTTTATATACCTTCAATTCCTACCATTCTAGATGACATATATTTTCTTTCAACTCCAATTTCATATCCGATAATAAAAAGTCCACAAATTTCTTCTAAGATATGAAAAAATATACATCAGTAAACTAGGAGGACTTGATAAAAAAGTACATATTAACTCATTATTAGTAATGTCATAATCATCAAATACCATAAATATTACTATAAATAATGAATTAAATATTTTAGAAACATCAACTTATTTAAAAACATGAAGAGATTTATCAAAATAAAATAATTATTTTATATATAATTATAAATTAACCAATATTAATGATAAAGCGAAACTCATTCGGCCAAGGACCGAGTAAAAGCTAGATAGAAACATAGAAATAACTGAGCTGGCTAGCTAGGGCGGTTAAAAAGCAACCGAACAACTCCATCTATAGTCGATACTTAATTTTCTTATCAATTTGGATAGGTATTTAGAAACTAAAATAAGATTTTACAATTATTAAGATGGATGCAAGCGACACTTCTGCTAACGGAGCATAAACAGTATCAGTGTACTGAAGTGATCCCTGACTCAGCCGATGAAGATCCCATGGAGGAAACTGCTTGTGGGCTGCATTTCTGTCTGTACTGATGCGGGATTCTGGATGGTGGGGGAGCGGGACTTGGGGTGGTGGTCAGGGACTCTATGGGGTGTGGTCGGCGGAGGCAGCAGAAGCACTCGCTGCAAAGATGGGGGCACATATTGCTTATCAGTTCCATTTCCGTAACATCATCCTTGAGATAGACTGCATGACGTTAAGTCGTTAATCCATAAGCTGGGATATCCGGAGACTATACAGGACGAAACAGGGGTAGTATGTCGAAGTACAAGAAGAGTTTTGAGTGCTACGGGAGATAGTTCATGGCACTACATCGACAGAGAGGCAAACGAAGTGGCGCATGCCTTGGCTCACACGAATACACGATGAAACGAGAGAATGATATGTATAGACATTCCACCGACCTTCCTTGTTAACCTGTTACAGCAGGATATTGTATCTGCGACTTCTTATTAATTTTGTTCAAGCAGATTACCGTAAAAAAAAAATTCATTATAGCAAATAGTAAATTTTAAGTCCAAATATTTTTCTGCATGTTAAAAAAATAATATATAGCAAATTCACCTCCATTATCATTGATCAGTCAGAGAATTTTGTTGTTTTTCTTATTTTTGGTAGTGGCGTTTGTTCTTGTTTTCAAGAAGGAAAATAAAATTCCCGAATCAGGTTAAAGATTCACGCAAAGGCAGCTCTATAACTTGAACATCTTGATTGAGAAGGGAAACAAGAGAACTACGGGTGAAAGAACTTCAAACTAATTGCAGAAAGAAAAAAAAAAAGAGGAAAAAAAACATAAAACAATAAAATTAAACGTAAACCATACGGTACCGTTCCTATCCTGAACTAAACTAGAACGAATCAATTCAAATCAACCTTATAAACTTCCGTCAAATCGGGTCGGTACAACCCGAAATTCTGTTCTTCCCCCTGCGCCTTCAAATCCTCATTGAACAGAGCAAACAAATACGTCTCGATTTCACTCCCCTGCCGCCTCGGCGTCCCGCCGCCGGAACGGGCCTTCGCTGCCACGTTGTTCACATACGCCCTCGCGTTATCCACCGTCGCCACGTCAGCTCCGGCGCTCGGCCACCCTGTCTCCGACACCACAACCTTCACCGCCTCCCCCTTCACCTTCTCCGCCGCCGCGTACATCGTGTCCACCATCGCGTCGAACAACCCCAGGTACTCCAAATTCCCGTCGGCCACCCTCTTCCCGCCGCCGCCGGCCGCCGAATTCCCCAGCGCGTACTCCCGATCGATGTTCGTCGGGTCGCTCTTGTAGGCGAAGTAAGGGTACACGTTGGCCAGCAGCGGGTAACCGTTCGCGGCGAGGAATTCCACCACCGGAGCGACGTACGGCTTCGATTCGTCTGAGAATTCACCCGCCGACGGGGGAAACGATTTCCCGATCGACGCGAAGCTGATCGCCGTGCTGACGGGGACGTCGGTGATTTGTGCCGATTTCAGAGCAGAGTCGAGATTCTTGATCGCGTCGAGTACGAGATGGGCCAGTGGGCCTGGGATTACCTCGTTTCCCGCCGTAATGTACCGGAACTTCAAACGGGCCCGGAAGGGGACTACATGGGCCGAAACCCACTGGGCCGCGTAAGATGGGTTGCTGGCCAGCTGCTCCAGATCGCTATTCAGCGTCCCAAGAACCACCTCCATCCCGCCGGCGTTGGCCAACGCAGTGAGCACGTCTTGGTTCGGGTCGAAGATCCGGACCCGGTTCACGTTCCTCGACTTCAGTAGGCTGACGCATCTGTCCGGCGACGGGAGGTTGTCGCCCAACAGGCCGTAGTTGATCCCAATGCTCGTCGCTCCACCAACTAGATAATTCAACGGCTAACAAATTAACAAATATACTATATACGTATAAAACGAAGGAAAAAACACTTGTTAGTCCAACGGTATATCAAATTACCTTGCGAATGGAACGAAATGAAGCATGTAGCGAGAGAGATGAAGAGAAGGAAAGGCGACATTGTTAGCTTCTTCTTTTTTCTTCTGCTGGGATGGATGATGGGTAAGAAGTGAGAAGTAACGAAGATTAGATAGCTATTTATGTAGGTGAAGAATACTTAAACGAGGAAATGGGTATTGGAGGAGGAGATCCTTTGTGCTTGATTGTAATCAATTAGAGGTTAATTACAGAAGCAAAGGAAAGATTGGGGAAGGAATATATGATTTGTGGGATGAAATTTTCGTGAAGTGAATACTTATGGATAGTATTAATGATTTAAGTGAAGGTTTAGTAGTTTATTTCTGGAAAGAAGCCAAAGGTTTAGGGAAGGAAGCTTTGTCATTACCTTGTTGATGTTGAAGATTAAGGGTCAAGCTTAAATATTTGCTTTGTTCGATGAGCTTCAGATTATGGAAAGAATGATATCAATTGGAAGATGACAGATGGAGAAATAATGAGAAAAGGAAATGAGAGATTAAGAAGATGTTTTAGTTACCAAAAGTTTCCCCGGCCATGGAATAAAAAAAACAAAAAAAAGATCCGCCAGCGATTAGTTTGATGTTTACTATTACGTTAAGAATGGAAGGTGGGTAAGAATTTGCTCTTTGAACATTATTCAAAGAACAATTGCTCCTTGAGTTCTCATGAGTTTAAGTTAAGGGACATGGTCAAATATAGGTAATAAAACTATATACCACTTCAATCCCAAATTACATGTTGAATGGGGGCATTTGATAGTTTCTCAGCCCCTCGGAAAACGGATCCGAATTTTCTTATTAACAATATTTGAATTGAACGAATAAACTAGGCAAATACAAGTTTGCATTTTCGTGATTCTATATTTTTTTCATTAGAAATCATATCAAATGTTCCTTTGTTCGAGGAATACTTTGATGATGATATTGCGATATAAATTATTTGTGAAGAGTTTCAGGACAAATTTATTATTGATTCCTTATACATTGTGCAACTAATGTGTATAAATTAGTTCATTTTTTTAGGAAAGAGGACGGTACGCTCGATATTTTATTAATTAAAAGAACACCAACTTCGGAAAAAAAATATACGAAATTAATGGATCATTAATTATAAATCAATACAACAACTGCCAATTAGTTTGCACCAGTCACTTGGAACATGAGATGTGACTATGGACAAACTAATATCATGGTCCATGGACGACTATAACAAAATATCGTAAATATGACTATGGTCAACAATAAGTCACATTTCCAATCGTAACAAATCATACAGCTACAAGTTGAGCCACAAATGTATACCATATATAAGGTAGCTAGTACGTAATTAAATAACTACTAATTATACTGCGATGGACTATGATTTTTCTATGTAAAAGGACATACAAATTATGTCACCGATATCTATATAAACTGAACAAATGAGCTTTGTGTTAATGACGCCATTAACAAATTATACCACTTCGGGGGAAAAAGAACAAGAAAGTGACACGTTTTCCCTTCTCCTAAACTACCCACCTTCATTCCTTCAATCTTTAACGCTACTAACCTACTAATTCATTTTAGTTTATGTAATCAAGAAACCCAAAAAAAAAAAAAAAAAACGGTTTGATTTTTGCCAAATGATGTCTCTTCCCCTTGGCCATTCCCATCTGCTTCCCTTGTACATAGAAAAATCCAAACACTCTCCCCTTGCCGCCCGTCCATGAAAGAAGACAGCTCTAAATTTATCGCATGAGATTATCAAGGAACAAGCTGAGAGACTAGTCAAATACTGCAACTAGATTATGACACCATAAGATGCGATTCTAATATATTAAGTTAAAAGGCCTAAAAACTGTAACGAAATCAGTCTATGATGAAAGAACGGATAAAACTAGAAGTCATGGAAGAGCATAATCGCTTCGTCGAGCTTCATCAGCGAGGAATGGATGAGCAATCTGACGTTTCTCAGTCTATCAAACTTTTGTTTGTCAGGCCCCTCGCGTTTATCCGGCGGCAGATTCAGGACCTGAGAACAAACAACCGATGGAGAGATCCTGAATTGTCATGAAACAATGCCACTTGTTGGCCTGTAATCAACAACATTAGAACAGGATTACCCTAACTAACCTCCTTATTTTGGTCAATCTCATGAGCTAAACGTAGGTTCAGATTCAAGGCGGCATGAAACATCTCATCTAGGACAGTCTCCCGAAGAAGCCGCTTATTTACTTTCCACAGTAAGTAGGAAGAGCCGCCGTAGCTAGGACCAGTAGCTGTACCACCCACAACCAGTTTCTGCAAATACAATAGCATTTTACAGCGGGAGGAAGAATATTCAGATGTTTGCAGAGGACCAGCAACTGGTCATACGTTTTAGGGTGGTGCAGAAACCAGTTTGTATGAGGAAAAGGTGAGAGTTACCTCCATGAGCAGGTATCCATCCTGCCACATTTTGAAAAGCGTTTTCGATGTCTCCTTTTTCTCCACAAATATCCTATCAGCAATCTACATAAGGGAATGAAGCGAATTTATGAAACAGAAGTGCAGAACCTTCATTGAAAGGAATTACTACCGGTCACAAGTCTCAACCAAAAGTGTAAATCCACAGTATGATTGTTGAAGATTTCCTGACTCTTCATCATTACCTTATCTGTTTCCATGAGGCAGCCAGCCCTAAACAGTAAGCGGAAAATTTTATATGCGGTCTCTCCAAATCTTTTCAAAACAATGGACTCAATCTGCAGTGTCAGAAATATTGGTGAACATCAGTATCCCAACCACTACTTCAACCATCTGGGGCAAACAAACAAATGAAAAACACACCTCTTCACTCTGAGCTGCTTCAGTGATTTTTGTGAAATCTACACAATGAACATGTCAATCATCACTAACAATCAAGAATAATCAAACTCAAAAGAAAACAATTAAGGAATGGACTATTAATAATCTAAAGAAGTGATCAAGCCAAACAGAACGTACCTATACTATATGATTCATCATCCGTTTTTACAAAGGTTGGGGGACAGCTTAACTCTTCAAGGCAAGTTCTGACATGATCAAAAGTCATACTGTGATTCTTTTCGTTCTTCACAACTTCTTCATATATAGTATTCAGCGATAACGGCACTGCAAAAGTCCTCCACCAGTATCACGAATCAACAAGGAAAGAGTATATAATAAAATACTTGTCTGCAAACAACTGTAGCAATTGAATGTACAAACAGAAACAAACCAAACTTTTGAAATAAAGTTCACCTGAGTTAGCAGTTTTTACTTTGTCCTCTTCTGCTCTAGATGCCTCAAGCATTGCACTCAGAACAGTTGCAGCCGCATCATCGAAGCGTACTTTTATGGTATCGACACAGGCCTACAGCATAATAAAAAACCAGTATAAGATAGTTTAGGCAAGATAGCGAGACTAAAATGCTCAAGAACAAGTGGAAACGGTAAGATATTTTGCTATTGTGAGATTACCAACCAAATGAAGGTTAAAATAAAAGGATTCACAAGGCTTAATTTATTCAGTTCTCAAAGCTTGCACATGTTCATTTTACCCTAACATGAACTAAACTGCAAGGTTATTACTTCTCTTGTTTGTCATTAACACATATATCATTCACTACAGATCAAGTGTCATGGAGCATGAGATGGTAAATCCTCTGTTCTATGGAAAAGGGTAAGAAATAGACAGTTTCCCACTCACCAAAATAATGACATGGAGCTTGATCTTGCTACGCAGATCAAACGACAACAAGAGAAACACAGGACAAAATTCCAGACAATACATGCATGCTAGTATAATTTGACTGTGCAAAACAATAAAACTAACCTTGTGCCGAAGACGCCGAAGCAATTCCTCAAAATTTGCACGCCAATTACATTCGACCTCTTCTTCAAGTGCCGTATCAGACTCCAAATCATGAAGCTTGCGCTACAAAAGCAAACTCCAATTATTGAATGGACGATGCAGATAGCTTTAGTAACTCAACCTAAAATACCAACCTTTTCCCCAACATCTTTACTCGGGGGCTGATTTACATTTTGCTGGTCATCCGCTACTTGGTCTGCGTTAGGTACAAATGAGAATCTTCTCATCACTGAAGGCATTGCTACAGCCATAACACGCTGCTCTAGGGTTAATGGCTCCACCATTACCTATCATTTCCATAAAGAATAAAACTTAGTCCTACAATTCCAGGACAGAATTCTGGTATCTACATGTTATTGGTATAACTAATACATTAAGATAGTGAGGGGGAGAACTCCAAATTCCTGCAGTATCATTCGCTAAGAAATATACACTGTTGCTGAAAATTCCATCGCTCAATTGCTCAAGTTTCTCTTCTGGCAAGACACCAATACCTTGGTAGGACTTAACAGTGCCAGTTGCTACACAATATGGTCATCTATAAACATTATCATGAATTAAGAGTCAGATTTTGTAAAACACATCCCTTTGTTAGATTGCATAATCTATTCCTCCGCAAGTTCAATCGTTGCATGACGATTGTCACATAATAAACTTTCCAGAGTTCAGCAATAACCTTTGAAGATTTGGCACGCTTCTTTGTATCAGCATCAGGTGGTGGAACTAAAGGTTCAGGAGCAGGACAGCATTCAACGTAATGGGCCATCACAAGTTTACCAAGGTCTTCCTGCACTGTGTTGGTACCTGTTGATTCTCAATAAAGAAAAAAGTCCACATCAACTTGATTATATGTACATAATCAAACTGAATTTATCTTCAAATGACAATCATATATATGAAGACAAAAAAACACAAATGACTGGTAGAGCTAAAGAGAACCTCAAGACTGTCTAAACAATGTATCACTACTAACCAAGATAGATCTCTGCTATTAACCATGTCAATTGAATACAACTCATTTCTCTTCTTGCACACCAAATGTCTAAAACATGATTAGTCACTGAACGACCATAAGCGCAGCAACTTGAATTAAAAGGAGCAACATAAGTAAAGTTCGATATGATCCTATAAAAGAGGCATATGAGTCAAGGAGCACTTACTCTCCTTGGCATTTGCACCAGCTCTATCCACTATTTGCTTTACCGTAAGCCTACCATGTTCTAGCAAACCTCTGAATAGTTCCCCACACTGCAAATGCCAAACAACTATTATAAAAACATCTCATACTAAAAATACACCAACAACTAAACAAGGAACCAAGAACAAATACAAACCGAGCCACCAAGTTCCTTCGACACCACATCCATGAACTTGGAAAACCTCACACGATGAAGTATGTTGACAAACAATGCAATATACAGCGTGAGGGCTTTCCCTGGTTCTCCTGCATCCTCCCCTGACACTGCCAAAGTCCAAACACCGTCAAAATCTACCTCCATTGTTGAGGCAAATGATCAACCAGATGAACAAGTGCAAATCATCATATCAGTCACAATCATAGATGAAGCTACTCCTACGGGACTACCAAGAAACCAATACGGCATCGATTGAAAACAAAACTGAATTCATCAAGGAACAAGAAGAAAAAAAAACTCACCGCTCTCTTCAAGGATGAAAGCCTGCACGCAGTTGTGCTGGATTAAGACGAGCAAGCAGTTCCTGACTTTAGCCGGAGAGAGCTCGGTTCGTCGAACTATGGCTTGAAGTGTCAATGCTCCGTTGCGCAGTAGACATTCACAGACTTTCTGTTGTAGCAGAAAACGAAGAATTAAAACGGTCTTCAAATTGAAGGAGTAGCTTTACACAATCACAGAGAAGGTAAGTGACCGGAATCAGAAAACTTTACAGCGACAAGATTGCCGAACTGATTGGTGATGAGATGGACGGCGTATAGGATGCCGTGTTGCGACACCATTGTCTCCGTCCCCGACTGCTTCTGGCGGCTTTACTCCCTGGCCTCGGCAAAAGAAAAAAAACAGGCGGTTGGGACTTGAGATGTCACTTTGGATAAAGCTTGTTAGCCCGCGGGTCAACCCGCCAGGCGACCCGGATCCGCCCGAAACCACTGTCAAAAACGGGCGGTAAGCACCCAGTGACAGCTCTGCCCAGGCACGGTCAGACCCGGAAAAGCCCGGTCAAACCGCTAAAACCGTCCAATTCGCCCGACCGATCGATTCCCAAGCGGTGGGTATTCTGCGATGTCTCGGCTGATACTCAACGGAAAGCAAACAAGAGTGTAGCGGGGAAGATGATTTAGTGATGAATTGATGAAACTCGGCTGGAAAAAAACAAGATGAGTTTGTCTCTTGTCTTGGTAACAAGATGGAAAGATTCTCAATTAGTTATATTTGGGGCACAATTAGAAGGAAGAAATCGCAAGTGGAATGGTGGAAAGTTGTTTGGAACAAGCACAGTTTGCCTCGAAATCGAGTTCTGATGTGGCTCATTGTTCTTGATCGAATTGTTACTAGAGATAAACTAAAAATTTGGGGACGTATCACAGACAGTTCATGTGTTCTTTGTGTCCTAGTGGAAGAGAGCATGGAACATCTATTTTGCCATTGTGTCTACATGCAGAAGCTGATGGCTGTTGGTGAAAACAGGATCAATGTGCCTGTTGTCTGGTCTGATTTACTTCACTGGTTGATAACCAGAGTTGACAGAGGGAGTTGTGGTGCTGCTGAAGTTTCAATATGGACTTGGACCAGTTGTTTTCTTTGGAGGGAGCGTTGCAGACGAGCCTTTGGAGAGTCCCCAAGATCTCCAAGTGTGATGGCTGGAGTTGTGAGGGAGGATCTTAATCTTTATTGCCACATTGATACTGAGTTTCTTTGTCAGATAAAGAGTTCTACAATCTGTTATTTTTGCATAGATTAGTAGCTATTTCTTCGTTACTCTCCTTACATGATTGTTGTGGGCTTTAAGACTTTGTGTTTTTGAACCCTTGTGTGAATTTGCCAAGGGGGTGCTTAATATAAGACAGCTAATTACCAGGAAAAAAAATATTGAGTTTTCAAGTGTGCAATGTATTTTGATATTGTATTGTAGTAATTCAATGATTGACGATTTTGAGAGCAATCTCAATATAAAGACTATCACGATCTATTGACCATGATTTCTTATTAAATGATTTTATATGAAAACATATATGTGTATAAATATTGAAGCTAAAATGAGGGTAATAGTTCAAAAGGTTTTAATATGGAGAAATGTTTAGAGTAACCTAATTGGTTAAACTAAAATTTTATCACGTTAAGTGGATATGGAATTTCGTATTAAGCTTAAGCCAATAAAATAAAATGAAGAATGATAATGATAAAAATAAATAGTTGCCTAAGTGATTTTTGCACCTTGAGTGGGCTCTTATTGTCAGCCTCTGATCACGGGTTCGATTCTCCTTAGATGCCATTTTTTGTTGTTTTGCAAAGGGTAATTATTAATTAACCAAAACTAGCACAGGGCCCGACCCGTTGGTCGGAAAACTTTAACCGAAACAAATGTATAGTTATTGATATGATATATAGAGGTGAAAAATAATCAAAAACTAACCTAATCGTCCACGCCAAATTGACCCACCCGTAATATCAAAGAAATTCATTTTTCTGGATGAGTGCATATTTGAATTTTTGTAAAACCGTAGCATTGTGATTAGGTGAGGGTTTTGATGGTACCAAGGGAACCTTTATCAAGACAATTCATTCTTGTTGATCACATGACTCGATGGCTAATCTCCGACCGGAGCAAGCAAACCTTTACACACCTCTGTTACATATTGGGAGACCTATACCGCCCCGTAGAAACTGTGTACCTGGATGATGAATATGAAGTTGCGAGATTTGAAATATATGAGTTACGATGCAAAGTTGTCATCAATAGTTAGTTGGACAATGTATTGTGTTCGGGTCAAAGACCAGATGACCCTCAACATAGAAATTTCGTTGCCACACTGAATAGTTATTGAGAATATATATATATATATATATATATATATATATATATATATATATATATATATATATATATATATATAATGAAGACGTGTGAAAAAAGTACATAGAACATAGGGCGATTAAAAGGACAAAGATTTTAAACCTCTCGCCTTAATGGAAGAAGATAATCGAAATGAATATATTTCTCCAGTTGAACAAATCTTTGTGTTGTTTGGTAAACATCATAAGATTTCTCTTTAAAAGTGAAAGAACTAACTCTAATATTCTTAGGTGAACATATTTGATCTTTTCATGGACAATTCATGAACTTCATCAATCAAATTTGTGATAATAAATGTCAAAGTGATGTTTAAAATATAATATGTAATTTATCTAGTATAATTGCAGAGAATACAAAATGCAGCTCATGAGCTTAAATTTAAGCAATTTGATGGACTAAAAATAAATTAATATAGCACTCATGCTGCACAGATTAAGTGTAGGGGAAGAGAAAACAAAGCAGGGTGGATGTATTGCAATCCATATGGGTTTGATGAGGCTCAAAAATATATATCGTATGTGTGCAGACTTAGAGGATAGAGCATAAACCATGGATCAGATAATGTACAATATGATCTAGATTCTAGACCATACTACGTCTATACGGTGTGGCATAGTGAGATCCAGACCAAACAAATCATATTCAACAAAACTTATATAAGCAGCTAACTCGTGTGCTTCCAAGCGGCCAAACTTGCAGCTTGTGTAGTTTGAAAAAGATAAGCCTACCTGTACTATGTCATTGAGATTGAATTTGCAAACTTAGTACATTAATCTATCTTCTTAAGTATGTACACAATATCACTACGCTTGGTAACCATAATCCTAATTCAACAGCCACCATCCCTTTCATACCCGTACTCTCAAGAGAGTAACATCTCTTTTCATCATTGCAGGCAAGGGGAGCTCGCTCGATTCGCAGATTGTCAATTTATTGGTCCCACTCGTAATTCACTTCTGACTCCGTGTTCGATAACCAATGATGGACCTGGGCCTACTACCGCCAAGTTTTGTCAAATTATAAGAAACCCCTTCAATCTCACAACATATAAGGGAAAAAACATCCTAATATTAAAATTAATTTAGGTTTTAAATTGAAATAAAAAAACAGCCAAAAATTGACGTGCCTCGGTTATTACCTCACCAGCCGTGAGGAATTTTACAATGTTATATAGTATTGGTGCTATAGGTTTTTTCCTTTATGATACAACTTGAAATTGTACCTTTAACGTTATGGTACAACTTCAGATTGTACCTATACTTTTTGTACAAATTCTTTTATTATACAACTTGAACTTGTACCTTTATATGATGGTACAACTTCAAGTTATAAAGTTGTACCATAACATAATGGTATAAATTTCTTTATGGTACAACCTTAACTTATACATTTAATATTATGATACAACTTCAAGTTGTATATTAAAACACCAATACTATATAGCATAGTAGAAGTTCATTATAAAAAAAAAATATAGCATAGTAGAAGTGCTCCACCAGCAGTATGTTGTTAGTTTGCCTGATCACTTTTTTTTTGGTGTCATGTTATATTTGGATCCAAATATTTTGATTTAATGTGATTTATTCAAATTGCATGATGGCTGTGAAGCAAATTCAGTTGTTCAGTTCATTGTATTTGTAATAATAATTGGGCAAGAGAAGCAAAAAAGAAAAACACGTGGAACCTACTTGTATAAATTGCATTTTCACAATTTCACTTGATGCCCACGTGTATTTGAGGCTATGACTTAATGAAAAAATGTAGCCAAGTATCATTGTCATCCTACTAAAATAAATACCCACTTAAGAAAGGCAGAGGGAAATTATAATTAAATGCCTAATTTTATCTTAGAAAACCAATTCACGAATAAGAGCGAGAACATGAAAACTCAATCTTAAGACCGCAATTAAAATGTGATATGATATTAGTTATATTAATTGATTTTGGCGATTGAATATATAAGATGGACTATGTTGAAGGAACAAAATTATGATTTTCCAATTGAATGTTCAAAATTTCTGGTAGTAGTTTAAGTGGTAGAATAGTTGTACACTTGTAATGGAATATAAAAGCATTCTATTTGAGCTCCCGCATCAGCTGCATTTAAAAATTAATTTTTATAAATTGTTTTTAGCAGTTATTTCTGACAATAGAGGAGGGTAATTTGATCATATTGATGTGGCCAGACCCATATAAGCCCTCCCATTGTGATTTCTCATCAAGGTCAGCCGCCCAACCTCTCTCTCTAGTTTCTTCTTCTTCCTTCTATTTTTCTACTTCTTGCTCTTTCTAATTAGATAAAATGGAGGTTATCAAATAAAATTAGATAAAATGGAAGCAAGAAAAGAAAAGACAAAAAAGCTTTCTAATTCTCAATTCTTCCCACTGTTCGGAATCGGAAAAAACCTAGAAACCTCCCAATTCCTTTTTCAACTTTGTCTTCAAAATTCTTCTTCTCCATTCACAATTGGCAGTGTGAAATTAAGCACCTGAAACCTAGCGCACTGATAGCCGCTCATTCCTCTTACTGAGTGAAGTAGTTTGATAGTTTGTGAAATTTCATTTTGAGTCCGTTCTATCTATCTTGTTCATCTTTCCTTGTTTTTTGGTTTGGCAGAAAATTATAAGGTGGGCTTTAGATCTTGACAAATTGTTGGTTGGTGGGAGCTTGGCTGCTTGCTGATTGTAAAAATTTCAGGCTTGATGTTTGAGAGATATTTTTCTTGATTGAGATCTGCATGCGTTTTAATTGGGATGGATGTGCAAGAGTTGTAGTTTGGATATGAGGGTTCACCGAGAACTTGATAGTTGCATGAATGAATGTGAAGCCCATCTAACCTAATTGGGCCATACAATAGCCATATGCGGGAGTCAGAATTGAGCTATGAACAACTGAACATCAAAACGCATAGCATCATTTTATTTGGTGAATGTAAAATGACAACAAAGCCCATCAGTGAATCACTCTCATGCCTCCATTTTCAAATCCCTGAAAATCCAACACATGTTTTCCTATTATATATTTTGTAGATTAGGAGAGGGGCATTTTGGTCATTTTGCTCGGGTTCAAAAACTTAACTATGAGAAACCCTAGCCGCCCTTCTTCCTCACTTTCTCGTCTCTTTGCGTTTCAGAACTCTCTTTCTCTCTCGTTCTCTCTATACACAGATAAAGAAAATGAACCTCTCTTCTTGCTTTGAAACCCGAA